AAATAGAAAGACTGTGGCAAAAGCAAGCAAGGGTAGTACCAATAGTCATAGGCTCCTTGGGTGCAATCCCAAAACAACTGGAGCACCACTTGAACACCATTGGCATTGACAAATTTGCTATTAGTCAATTGCAAAAGGCGGCCTTATTAGGAACTGCTTCCATCCTGCGACGATACCTGTAATACCATCAAACATCCACATCTGCCTATCCCAGGTCCTGGGTAAGGACTCGATAGGTAGACAAAATGCCAAATCCAGGCTGAACATCTGGCTGACTGTGCGATGAATGATAATAATAATAATAATAATATAAAAATAAAGTTGGGAGGGACCTTGGAGGTCATCTAGTAAAACCCCTGCTCAGGCAGGAAACCCTATACCATTTCAGACAAATGCCTCTCCAGTCTCTTCTTAAAAACTTCCAGTGTTGGAGCATTCACCACTTCTGGAGGCAGGTTGTTCCACTGGTTCATTGTTCTAACTGTTAGAAAGTTTCTCCTTAGTTCTAGGTTGCTTCTCTCCTTGATGAGTGGAAACACAGTCTATTTTTATGACCTCTAAATATTAATATGTTACTTTACTCTGAGCCATGGTTACAACCATTGGCACCCAAATGGGGGCTGTTAAGTTATGAAATATATTGTAACATCACAACACAAAACCATGACTTATATACTATATCCTAACCCAGTGATGGCAAACCTATGGCACGCATGCCAGAGGTGGAACTTAGAGCTCTCTGTGTGGGCACGCGCACCATTGCCCCAGCCCTGCCTCCCCCTGCGGCCCCCTCACCAGTAGCCCCCCTGGAGGAGAGTCACTCCTGAGTGCGGCCCATGCAGAGCAGCACAGCAAAGGACATGGCAGCCAGGCAACGGGGACAAGACTCCGCCCTCACGCCCCGTCACGCGCAGTTGATGCTGCAGGGTACGGGTGGAGGGTGTGGCCACCATGGTGCTGCTGAGCCGCCTGGGCAATCTGTGATGGGCCGTGGAGACAATGAGTGGCCCTGCGGGTGGGTGGGATGGGGTGGAGCAGGGGCAGGATGGGGGCAGAGGCAGTTTTTGGGCACCCGGTCTCTAAAAGGTTTGCCATCACTGCCCTAACCCTAACCCTAACATCAGGATGCAAGTACAAAAGTACAAGTTTTGCATCAATGGTTTTGTCTCTTAAAATCATGGGTTTTAAGGGAATGCCTCTTAATTATTTTTACTCTTGGTTGTGTCTTTTTAACTGCTGCTAGCTATCCAGGGTCACAATGGTGAGATGGGTTGCCACATAAACTGAATTGAATAAATTATTAGTGTAGTTAGAGAATTCTAATTGTAACATATAGAAAAAAAACCCCAGACCAAAAACACAGCAGAATTAAGTAGCAGAAGAAGAAGCTCTTAATCACCAACCATTGTTTGGTATCATTTCTGAAATGAGCGAAGGTTTTAAATGCTTTTAAGACGCATTGAATGTTTCTTTTCAATATGAAGTCCACTATTATAACCTTCATGACACCAAATTCTATTCTAGGAAATACTATACTTTAATAAACAAGAACTAGAATGTGAAAAAAATTATTAGATGTATAAAATCTTCCCTGTGTTGAAGGGATCATTACTATTTACATATAAGCAATAGGATTAATATTTGCAAAAAATATCTTCAGATAATAACTTTTGTTATTTCAAGTTTTAATATAAAAATCTCTTAAAGTATATTTGTAATACAGAGGAAATTGCTATCTGTAAATAAATGCTTCAAAATTGGTACAAATTACTCACATGCAATAGTTTTTGATTCAGGACAAATCTGTTAATTGGTTACAGTACATGAAAAATTCTACTTATTATGGTGTCCACTATTGGACAAAATACAGAAAAAATAGGTTGCAACAAAAATCTAGCTCAAGAAATGAGCTCTCTCATCACTATTATATTCCAAATATCTATTATCCCCAGCATGCATGTGTGCAACTCCTCTGGAAACTAAGAGAATAATAGTCCACTTATCTACATTATTTTTCAAGGAGAATCTGACAGTTTGCGCAAAATAAGAAACTTTAGCCCTTAACACTGCTTTAAGAAAAAATTATGTAACCAAATAGCAAAAGAAAAAGCTATCCTTAAAACAAATATGGAATTAGTTTACAGATATCTATATTTGTCAATAGGAAAGTACCTGCAGAACATTGGAGACAGATTTAATTGCATCCTATACACAAAGTTAGTTGATCCATGGCAAAAAACTGGAACTGTTGATTCCAAAACCAGAAATGCAAGAATCTTCAGTTGGGGACTTCAGAAAACCAATATATGACAAAAGCAAGAAACAATCTCCCTTTGCAAACAATACTGTTAAGTGGCTAGACATAAATTTCCAGATATGGAATTCAGTAGTTCCTTTCAAATGAGTAAGTTTATCGATTCAGCCTCTGTCTTAACTTTTAATCAGTGATGCTAACAACTGCTAATAATTCTAAGCCTGACAATTTATACATCAAAGACAGTACAGCCCATATAAAAAGAATTTATAATGTTTTAATAGAATTGGATTCTGAAATGGAGTTACGGTAGTTAAAGATTGTATGGTAAAATGGGCTCAGAATATTCAAGAGCCGATTCAATTGGACACTTGGGAGACAATTTGGGTTAGAAATGTAAAATTTACTCAAGCTCAAAATTTGAGAGAAAATTTTTTATAAAATGTTTTATAGGTGGCATTTGGATCCTCAAAGGCTGTCCTGTATGTATCCTAATTTACAGCCTAAATGTTGGAGATGTGGAAGCTTAGATGCAACCTATTTCCATATTTGGTGGACTTGTAAAGATATAAAAGCTTTTTGGATTAAGATTTGGTGGAATATTCAAAAGATTTTTAAGAGAAAGATAAAGTTTATGCCGCAATTATTTTTGTTGGGTGTTATTGTAGATTTTGATGTTAAAGAAATTAATTTGATGTTGAATCTTAACAACTGCAAGACTACTGGTGGGGCAATATTGGAAGAAATTTTTTTTGCCTACTATGGAAGAATGGATACTTAAAGTGTCTAATTTAGCAGAAATGGCAAAAATCTCTGCTTATTTGAAGGACCATTCACAAGAAAAATATATTTTGGTTTGGAGAAGATGGATTGATTATATTCAAAAGAAATATCAGACTGAAAAATATTATCTTACTTATGAGTAATTTTTAGATTATTATTAATAGTTTAATATGATTGACTTTATATTATTTTATTTTATATAATATTTTATATTATATTATTTTTAGTATTATGATTTAATTATATAATTATATAATCATATAACTATTTTTGTTTTTAATTTGTTAATATTTATTTTGAAAAGGAGTTAAAGTATGTTATGGATCTGATTAATAGTATAGTTGGGTATGTTATTTAGATTATATTTGCTTATTTGTAACCCTGTAATCAGCTCTGGGAAGTGGGGGAGGAGGGGGAGGGGTGGGAGGGATTGGGGGATATATATTGTGTGAAATTTTTAAAACTTTTAATAAAAAAAGACAGTACAGTACACACATTCTGTAGTTTTCAAAGATGCTGAAGCTATTTTATCCATTCTGTTCTATTATTTACATTTTCCTAATACATCTGCAAATCTTGGCAGGAAAACTTCAGGATTATTTCAGGCAGTCACTAGGAGTTAGTGATTTGAAGGGGGGACCCCCCACCACCACCACACAAAACCCCCAAACACCAATGGGCCTCCAAAGGAAAATAATAGTCAGGCCATATCAAAGATTGGTTGGAAAAGCTTTTATTGTACTATAGGCAGAAAAAAGCTATACAGATTCACCAGGAAAACCACACTTAACTTTGCAAAATTCATCCCAAGGTAAAAAATATAGTGTGCAATTCATTCTTGTATCTCTGCAAAGATCAGCAGAAACTATAATTTACAAATAGAAAACTGGGCATCTGAGTCAAGTCCACTAGAATGCAAAAAATTGCACAGGGGCTGGAGTGAGCTTGGATGCACTTGCTCAATACACAAATCATACACCCTTTATGGGACTTCACCTTACTCTTTGCTTATTTAGCCAGCAGGGGCAGCATGGACAGATTTAAAACACAATTTTCCGGACAATTACTTGGAAGCAAGTCCCATATAGTAAGTGTTCACAGGATAGGTTCTGGTCAAACAAGCCAAGGAATGCTGATCACTGGATCCTCACTACTGGGTCAGTTTTCAAGACTCTATAAATCATACCTATCCAAGAGGATTTCTTCTGCTTCTGTTCAGCACTTCGGTAAGAATCCGAAGGATGTGTAAAGTTCTTGCGCAAGCACAATTTCAAAGCCCTGAACCCAAGACACATTCAGACATTCTAAACAGCAAGGTACTCTAAAAGGTAGCGGGGGTGGGGTGGGGAAGAGGAGCAGAAAAAGAGTAAGACGGCGCACACAGCAATTCAGCTTACAGTAGCGAAGAGTGGAGTATTTTTGCTGCAAAGTAGAGAATGGGAATCAGGCAGGGGAGCGAAAGTGAAGAATGCGAAAAGGGGGGGAGAGAGAGAGAGAGAGAGAAGGACGAGCTTTGGGACACACGCGTCTATGTCACCCACCAAGAAGGAGGAGGAGGAGATAAAGGCTGGAGGTTTCTTACAAGTGTATATGCAAGAGGCTGCCAGAAGTGAATCATCGGGGTGTGAAAGAAGAGCTAAAGTAGAGAAGTCATCAGAAGAAGACAGCCCGGGGCTCAGCGGAGTCGTAGAGGGGGGTCCCCTCTGCTTGTGGCCCCAGAGCTTTGTTTGGGTTGTCAGCCGGGAAGGAGAAAAGGAACAACTCCAAGCAACCCGAACGCGACAGGGACGAGAGCGCTCGGCCAGGAAGCCACCACTACAGATGGGAGGCGAGGGTGGCAGGTAAACAGAGTTCAATCGCGCGACTCCAAAGGGCCGGGGACGGTGGGGCGGCGGGGGGGGGATGCCATAGCCCCAGATGTCCCCCCTTCAGCCTTTCTTGTGCTTCCAACCCTCCCACTCACCGCGCGAGTCTCTCGCGGCCGCCCGGAGCCTCCGTCACTCCCGACTGGGCTCTCGACACCGGCCCGACTCAGCGGCTCCTACCACCTCCTCCGCCGTCTGCCCCAGCCGCCTTCGCGGCCGCCATTTTCATCCACAGCTCCGGTCAGACTTCTCGGGAGGGCGGGGGCAGAGGAGGAGCAATCAGGGAGCCTGCGCGGCAGCGCCTGTGACACGTGGTCCGCTCGGGAGGGGTGGTGTCGGGGCTGCGGAGAAGAACAAAAACTTGTTTGGTGGGTCGCGGAGTCCGTCGGCAGATCCTCTTTTACCTGGTTGCAATTCATCGGGGAAAGGGATTCCGTCGCGCGTTTCGTGGCGCCTTTCTTCGATGTTGTTGTGCATAGTTGGGGGTACTCGTCCTGACCCTCTGCACGTATACGAGGAAGACGACCTTGCGAGTGTTTATCTTGTTGCAATTGTGTAGTAATCCTTACTCGGGGCGAGAACTTTTGAGTAACGCATCGAGACCTGTTTCCGAATCGACGCCGGATTGAGCTTGGGATTCCTTGCTCGTGGCTGCAGCGCTCGTTCGCGCGGGGCTTGCCCGCCCTCTGTCGTTCTTCCCCCTACCTTGTTTCTTGCAACTGTGTTTTGTGCCAACTCTTGAATTCAAACATGCCCGCGAAGGTATGAAAAAACCGGAATGACCGGCTTGTTTTGCAAGTCTATAGGAAACGTCCTCATTCCGCTGCTGCCCCTTGCTCTCCACGGCCGTTTTGGCTGCGGCGCCCGTCCGTTCAGCCTGCTGCGCTCCGTTGGGGCGCCGGTTCAGCCTTGGTGCAGATAAATCAAGTGCCAAGTCTGGTGGCAATGTCATTGACGTCGAATTGAAATTCAACCTGTTTTAGGTTGCAGAACAGGTTTACTTTGGGATGTGTTATTGGTAACGGTGCGCCATGATCAATGATTTTGCATAATCCCGGTTTGCTGAATTAAATACCTTTAGTTGGATCTGTACTAACAAACCACCTTAGGGCATGAAGCCAATTTATAAGATCCTTGCTGGATCTTATCAAAATCTTAGGGTGGTGAGGGTGAAGGTTCATTCTCCGAGCTTGAGGGTTGGTTTCCGAACATTTTGTTACCAGGCTAGGTAACATCTTCAGAGGTGTTTAGTGGATGTCTGTGGCAGTGTTCTACTTATATAAGGGTTCCAGGTGTGGGAGTGAGGGTCTTGTGATGGGCCAATTGTGAGTCATCAGAGAGGCTTGTGATAAGGACTCTCACTTGACGCAGACATCCACTAAACACCCGCTGAAGATGTTACCTAGTCTAGTAACAAAACGTTCGGAAACCAACCCTCAAGCTCGGAGAACGAACCTTCACCCTCATCCTACACCTGAGTTACAGATATTCACCACTATTGCATCTTAGGGTGGTAGCCAGTATATGATTATGATTATGTGCCATCAAGTCATGTTTGACTCCTAGAGACCAGATATATTTTCTTCATAATCTCTTTACTTAACCTGTTCCTTCAAGTCTCCCAATGGTGCACTCATTGTCATTGAGTCCATCGGCCTTGCTGCTGGTTGTCCTCTTTTCTACCTTTCCCAGCATTAAAGCCTTCTCCAGAGAGCTAGGTCTTCACATAATATGTCCTAAGTAGGCTAATGTGAATCTGCTCATTCATGCCTTGGGTTTATTTGTTCAAGGATGCATTATTTTGTTTTCTTGGCTGTCCACAGTATACTCTGGAACAGAAGTCCCCAACCTTTTGGGCACCAGGGACCGGTTCTGTGGAGAAAGGTTTTTCCACAGACTGGAAACTGTGTGGTTTTGTGTTCTGCCTGCATTCCATGGATGAGGCTTTGCTTATTTGTGCGGCATGCCGCAGTCTGGTACTGGTCCACAGACCGGGGGTTGGGGACCCCTCCTCTGGAATCTTCTCCAACAGTGAAGTTCAAAAGTGTCAATATTCTTTCTATTCTGCTTTTTTAAGGTTTCAATTTTCACTTTGATAGAGTGTTGTAGGGAATACCATGGCTTGCACGATTCAGGTCCTTGTTAGTAAAGACACATCACAGCGTTGATGGATGAATGAAAATCTTTTCCAAGGCCTTTATGGCTGCTGTATCATGTTCTGGTCTGCAGTATATTTTTTGGTTCTTTAAAAAGGGAAGAGATGGGCAGGAGGCATAGCCTTCTGAAGATATGGATGAAAAGGCCCACTTTTTTTGTGAAATAGAGGAAATGCTCTGTTTGTGGATGGCAAATGTTATCCCATGAGCTACATTTTTGCAAGATGTATTTCATGTTAAGATAACCAACCTGCTTTTTTTTTAACCTGCAGTAAATCATGTGGATTTAATGGATCTTTAAAAAATAAAAGTGGTTTAGATTGTAAATTTGTGCTATTTTTTAGTTTATGGATGAGTTATAATATTTTATGTGAAAGGCTCTTCTAGTAAAAAAAAACGATGTCAGATTAATTATGTGGCAAATTAATGTCTGGAAGGATATTGGATTTTCTTATAGTGCCAGCAATGTGTAATGCTCAACAGCATTAGTAAAACACTGGATTACCTGGAAAACCATCCAGGAACCTCAACTTTTCCAGAATGCAATTGCTTGAGGAATGATTGGAATGTCAGAGTTCTCCCCTATGACACCCTCCTTTCAAGAACTTCTCCGGTTTCCTGTTTACTTTTGAATGCAATTCAAGGTATTGATTGTCACTTTTAAGGCCTTTTATGGCTTAGGACCTGGTTATTCACTTTTCCCAGTAGCTTCTTCATACCCATTTAGGTCAAGAAGGGTTCCTTTCTCTTTAGGTTGTCTTCTTTGGATCAGAGAGTTGAATCTTCTCAATTGTAGCCAAATAACAACAACAATAATAATATAAAGTTGGAAGGGATCTTGGAGGTCATCTAGTCTAATCCCCTGCTCAGGCAGGAAACCTACCATTTCAGACAAACGGCCGTCCAGTTTCTTCTTAAACGCTTCCAGTATTGGAGCATTCACAGCTTCTGGAGGCAGGTTGTTCCACTGATTAATTGTTCTAACTGTCAGGAAATTTCTCCTTAGTTCTAGGTTGCTTCTCTCCTTGGTTAGTTTCAATCCATTGCTTCTTGTCCTGCCTTCAAGTGCTTTGGAGAATAGCTTGACTCCCTCTTCTTTGTGGCAGCCCCTGAGATATTGGAACACTGCTGTCATGTCCCCCCTCATCCGTCTCTTCATTAAACTAGACATACCCAATTCCAGCAGCCGTTCCTTATATGTTTTAGCCTCCAGTCCCCTAATCATCTTTGTTGCTCTTCTCTGTACTCTTTCTAGAGTCTCAACATCTTTTTTACATTGAAGTGACCAAAACTGGATGTAGTATTCCAAGTGTGGCCTTACCAAGGCATTGTAAAGTGGTATTAACACTTCACGTGATCTTGATTCTATCCCTCTGTTAATGCAGCCTAGCACTGTGTTGGCTTTTTTGGCAGCTGCAGCACACTGCTGGCTCATATTTAAGTGATTGTCCACTAGGACTCCAAGATCTCTTACACAGTTGCTACTATTGAGCAAGGTACCACCTATACTGTACCTGTGCATTTGGTTTTTCTTGCCTAAATGTAGAACCTTACTTTTTTCACCATTGAATTTCATTTTGTTAAATACCGCCCAATGTTCAAGTCTGTTAAGATCCTTCTGTATCTTAAGGCTATCTTCCAGAGTGTTGGCTATTCCTGCCAGCTTGGTGTGTCGTCTGCAAATTTGATGAGTTGACCATCTATCCCCTCATCCAAATCATTGATAAGATGTTGAAGAGCACTGAGCCTGGAACAGAGCCCTGGGGCAACCCACTACAGATCTTTGCAGCCACAGGTCATACTGGCTCTCACTCCACCGAGCTTCTGGAAAGCTATTAAAATTGGGCTTTTTGAGATTGCTGGGAATGGAAATAGTATGAGCTGTGAGCCCCCTTAATGAGTTGTGCTTTGATGTTTGAGAGTTTCTCAGCATTTTTGGAATTTTAGTTATAATGGTAAGTGATTATTTTGCTATACTTTAAAACAAATATTCTTACTGAAAGGAGAATGTAATCTGCTCAAAATCCTTTTGGACTGAAGTGGTATAGGAAACCAAGTGAATAAATAAATGACAGAAATATTTATGCATAACCCAATTTTATTACTGAATTGGTTTATTCTATTGGGAGAAGCAGACTTTATCTAAAAATGCTTTCAAGTAAAGTTTTTCTGAATATCAGGTGTATGACTCACAAATCGTTCAGAAACTCAGTGGCACCAATATATCGTTTTAGACACATAATCTTAAGCTTATAATTTGCACATAATTTCAATCATATCACAATGATGTAAATTGTCTTGGTGTGTTTGGGGGTCTTTTACTTCTGCTGAACAAGAAGACTATAGAGATCCTTTTCCTTGAAGCACTACTGAAAAGCAGTGCAATGCTCTATCCTCACTACTAATCTAAAGTACAGAATGAATGTTAGAATTCATTCTAACAATTCTAACAGAATTGTCAGAAATTAAGACTGCAGTATAATATTTGTCTTATTTGATATCATATTCTTAAAAGCTTTGCATGGAGAGACAGTGTTCACATAACACATCTAATAGAAATCATGGATTACAAAAAATAATGGCTGGGTGTGAACTAAGTCCCATTAAGAAACACTATAATGTGAACTCATTCTTGCTCAGTTTTCAAATAAGTCTGTTTCCTGCTAAACTATGAATAGTACAAATATTTTTGATCACAACTTAAAGATATTAGAATTCATTAATCTGCCTATAGCTACATTAGATAATGAAATATGAATCCGTATATTTGTCAACCTTGGCAATATTAATGTCAGTATATTTTTATTAATGTCAATCAGTGTAACATTATGATATAGTCCTGACTATTGCAATGCACTCTACTTGAAGCTGCCCTTGAAAAATATCTGGAAGCTTCAATTGATTCAAAATGTGACAGCCTGCATGGTTCTGTGCAAGTCTAGATTTGCACATGTGTCACTTTTCTTGCATGAGTTGCATTGGCTGCCAATTTGCATCTGGTTCCAATTCAAGGTGTTGGTTGTCACCTTTAAAGATATACATGGCCTGGGCCTACGTTATTTGAAGAACCGTCTTTTCCCAGTCATATCTGCCCGATCCACCAGAGTGGGAAAATGGAATATTACAGGTCATCTCTCTTAAGGAGATCATCTAGTGAGACCAAGAAGAAGGTGGCTCCCACCCTGTAGAACATAATCCTTGTGGAAGTAAGATTGACCTCCACTTTGACATTCTTTTGAAAAGTCCTGAAGACATGATTCTGCTAACAATCTTGGAGACCCCAGGTGATATGGAGTCCACCAAGCAATTAGTTTGTTGTTACAAGGGATGGGAGGGTTCACTGGATTTTGTATTGGAGTTTTATTTTTGTAAGCCATCCAGAGTTACTATGACTGAGTTGGACAGCCATATATATGTCCTAAATAAATAGTGATGTGACAGCGACAACCATAGTAGTGGATGGTAGAATGATGACAACATTACAGTATTAAATAATACCTGTCCTTTTGTGGCTGCATTGTGACATCACATATATCCATAGGGGTGAAGCATACGATGCAACATTGAGATGCTGCTTTCATTATTCTGAAGAAAGCAAACATCTCTTGTGGGCATTCATGTGATGTAGCATTATGGCATGCATTTTGTGAATGAATGTGTATGAAAGATCGAGTATACAGAACAAGGCAAAAATATTTGTTATGGAAAATTTCTGCTTATGTAGCATGTGAGAATGAGAAGTTCAAAAAATA